CCTCTCAAAGAACAGAAAAAGTTTTCTGGAAAAGTTCACCCTTGTGTGGATTTCCCTGGGCAAGTGACACATACAAAGTATGGTTTGAAAAGCTCATCTCAGGAAAGGACACCGCCATTATTCCCCCTCACGAAACTCCCTCTCACTCCACACACAGCCCGTGGTTCTTGCCACTTTCTGAAGCAGTTCTGCAAGTCCTCTTTCTTGAGGTTCTTATTTGTGCTATTGTGGCTGCCTTGCTGTCCTGAATTGATTCAAAACCTTTCCCTTTCATGGTCATTTTGATGCGGGATGTCACATGGTGCCAGATCCGATGAAAAGATGGGAGAGGATGCACGGTCACGGTTAACAAGCCTGCCGTCCTGTTCCGTGGGACTTGGCAGCAGCATTCACCATAATCTCATCGTACTTCATAGACGTTCACGGAAGAGAATTTTGAGAGCTGCTTCAGGAAGGGACAAGAATGATGGGATAAGTGTTCACGAGAAAGGCTGTGTTCTGGGGGAATCAATGGTACTTTTACAGTAATGAAATTTAAACATTTTCCATCACACCTCAGAACACGGGATGAAGAGCTAATAAACATTAACAAGCGATCACCCCAGATTCCTTCCCACCAGCAGGGGTCACACAGTGCCCACCCAACCCTGCTGGAACACAGTCTAAGGTGCCTGACTGGCCACACACAGCAGGTTGGGGACAGTGGCCTCTTGGGCTCAGTGGTGCCCAACTCACTGGTCACCAGTGTTGGTCCTGGAGTGGAGTCTGATTGGCTGATTTCTCTTCTCTGTAGTAGGGAGGAGCCTTTCTTACCAGGCACAGGGAGGAAGGATGCAAAACCCCTGGGTCAGAGGCGAAGGCGCCCCAGCGTGCTTGGGCCGGGTGCAGTGTCCATAAGACTAGGTGGATGGAGCCGTGAGGCCAAGGTGCCAGGCTGGAGCTGGCAGTGAGGTGGCCCTGCACCCCAGGAAAGGGTTTTGCTGCTCAGAACACCCTTACCCCTCTCCTCCCACCTTTTCTCTCATGGTGGTTCCTCCACGTGGCCCCAGTAATCAGCACAACAACGTTTCCCCTTCTATGGCCCCTAAGGTGGATCTTGTTTCTGCTATCAAGGACTGAACACCGGGCCTTCCACTGAGCTGAGGTGGGATCCCGCTAGACCCTCGGGCTGGCTCCAACTTCTGATTGTCTTGGCTCAGCCTCCCAGAGCGCTGAGATTCCAGGCCTGGGCGAAAGGCAGCTCTGAGGTCACCCCTGCAAGTCGCCAACTTCCCCTCAGTAGGACAACTACTCTGTGTTGCAAGCATCTCACAGGTCTGTGTGGACACACGTGACATCAGTCCTCTGGACAGCTGTATCCAAGTACAGCGAGGGCTGAGCCAGCCCCCGAGCTACCGTTGTGGAAGCGGAGCCCCTGCCCACCGCGTGGTGTCAGGGGCAGGTGGTGACTCGAGGGTGGGTCCTCACGTAAGAGGAAAACTTATCCTTCCTGCCACTGGGGTCACAGCACCAAGTCTCCACCTGAGAAGCAGAAAGTGGCCCTCACAAGACCAGGAATTGGTCTGAACCCGTGTGAATCTGCTGGTATCTCAGTCTGACCTCCAGCATCCATAACTGCGAGCGACTCGTATGCTGTTTGGAAGCCATCAGTTTATGCGGCACACCTAACAACCTGAAGGGACGAGTACAGAGTCCCACCTGGACATGTCTTCTACGGTGAGGAGATGGACAGGAGTGCAGGGAAACCACCTGCCCCCGGGAGGAGGCGCAGGTGCCAGGCAGGGCCAGGCCAGGGGTGCTTCCTCCTCTCGGAGAGCTGCTAACCTGTGCTTACCTGAGCATTTTCATTCCTTTTCCACTTTTAGAGCCACTGGTGGAAAAGTACACTCTGTGTTCGCAGAAGCGAGTCTTCCGTGGTGCGATGCGCTTCCTTTTTCACTGAGCAGTCATCAATGACCTGTCCATTTCACTGGTCTTCTCAGAAGAGCGTGTTTTTGAATTACTGATCAACCTGCAGAGCACGTGTTCCACTTCACGGCGTGATGCTTACTCGGGCCCGTGAAGCGACACTGAACATGCTCTACTCTGCCTCGCTTCACCATCTCTGAGATGCTATTAAAACTTCTATGACTAGATTTGTCATTCTTCTTCCTGCAACATTATTTATCTTTCTCAACATTTTGTTGCAAGGCGCTTCATGTCTTCGACGGAGTATGCCTTTTTTAAGTGTGAAGCGCTGAAAGGCTGCCCACTTCCCCGGCTGCCATCTTGCCGTGGATTCCACTTTACCTGATAAGACAGGCATGCTGGGTACCCTCATCACTTGAGGTGCACCCTCCCTCCTTAGTAAGTGGCGCTGCCAGATTTATTCCAGCCCACACACGTGCGATAGATACTTGGGAGGAAAAGTGCAGTGTGGCTCATTGCAGGCTTCCGGGCAGTAACCGAGCACGCGAGAAAAACCCAATGTGTACTCACAGGCCGGTGAGGTGAGGGTGTGCTGCTCCGCGACCCTCACCAGACAGCTCTTTTGCTACAGAAACAGCCAGGGAACAGAACGTCCCTGGTGAACGCCGGGATGTGTGGAGAAGGAAGGCCCACCCGTCCACTCCTGTCTGTACAGACTGTCCCTAGACAGCAAGACAGGAAACTGCTGGCTGCCTCCTTGGAGAACAGAGGGAGATGTTTACTGACCTGAGCCTCCCAAATATTGAGCTTCAAATGTTTAGCGACCGAAAACATAATTAAAATACATCTACACCTGCATCCTTGCAAACGTCAGTCACAGTTGTTTTTCTGTCTGGTTTTGTTGCTGTTCTCCCCCTTTCCTCTTCCCTGTCACCCTGCTCTTGCCATCCCCTGGATCGGAGGCTGTGACGACAACAGAGCGGCGGGGCCCTGCGCGTGCTGGGGTCTGCTCTAGGGACCGTCCTCTCCCAGACGAGTGTCCCGGGGACTGGCTGCAGACGTCCCAGGCCCGGACTGGTGGATGGTGGGACGAGACCCCCGCTCCAACTCGGCAGTCCTGCCTGCTCCAGAGCTCCCACTGGGCCCATGGACCGTTGCCAGCAACAGGGCCTTGCTCTGAGCCCAGCAGGTCTCATTAGTCCGCACTCGCTGATGCAGTGAACAGTCCAGGATTTAAAAGCACACCCTGCTTCCGCCCACACAGGCCCCTCCAACTGTCGCTTGTCTCCTCCAAGTCTGCAGATTCCGGGACATGGGCTCACTCTCCTCCACCCCGCCTCTCTTCCACCTCCCCTCGGTGACTCCCGTGACCCAGCTGTGGTCTGCGGCTTTCTGCTGCCATGCACGGCCAGAATGGCCACACAGGAAAATCACTTTAGAAATCCTCTGGCCTGCGAAGCAGACAAGGTTTTATCTGTCACGCTGTGTCTGGGGAACGTCATGTTCTTCTTCCCAACAGACCTTCCAAAGTCCAAAGGGAGCGACAGGGTGGGAGTGAGGAGCCCGTCTCCTCTGCACCCTCAACGAGGCAACGCTGTTCCTGCTCCACGAGGCTGCGTCCATGGTGGCCTGGGCCAGTGACGCAGGTGCACACAGATGAGAACCCTTCCTCGGCTGGATGTCCTTTCTTCTGCTCAGTGCCCTTCAGAGACCAGATTGGCCAAAATGATGATTAAAATTAGAGACGAAAACTCTTCCAGTTAAGCACGTAGGCAGGTTAGGAACACCTCTCCATTTTAAAACTGCCTTGGATATTCTGGGAGCTCAGGGAGGGACACTGTGGGGACAGTTACTAACCTGTATACCTAGGGCTGAGGGCCCAGGCAGCCACCTCCTTGCCAGCACCTCCCGGGCCAAGCACTGGGCCAGCGTGGGTGGCCAGGCACATTCTCTGCTACAAAGACTCCAGCAAGTGACACTCGACTCACGATGGACAAACCTCCAGCCGGGGTGACTGCCGAGCTCCAGGAAACGGGGCTAGGCCTCAAGGGCCGCCAGAGTCCCTCTCATCACGCCAGGAAGAATGATGGGGCTTCAGAACACCAGAACCAACAGGAAACAGTGCCATGCGCCAACTTGAAAGATAATGTGAGCACTCAACAATATTGACAGTGATGACAGTAACAGATTAGGAGTGAATAAAGAGCTCTTGCTTGAATGCAAAATACAAATGAATAAAAACTAAGGAACGGTGTGAATTTATGCACAGTGTGAACTAATAATGCAGACGGAAAATGGAAAGCCACCGTTATGCAGCTATCCAGGTAAAAACTGGTTGTGCCCAAATTACCAAGGGTTGCTAAAGCGGCAAGGAGCACTGATAGGACGGTCTTGAAGTCACCTCCCTGTGCCAAAACTGACAGAGGTCGGCGCGAAGCACAGCAGGCAGACACCGCATTGCCTGGGCAACGTGCAGCCCCAGGGAGCATGCAGACAGCACTTGAGCTCCTGCTACGGTCACACAGCACAACCGTGTATACCACAGGGACAGGGACAGAGCCACCGGAAGGACCGTGCTGAGGAAGGGACCCGCCCCCATGGCACTCAGCCACAAGACACAGCTCCAGACAGCAGGGACCTGGGGAGGCGCCAGGGTGGGCCGAGGACATCCCCGGCCCTGGTGCTGTCCGGCCGTCAGGCTGAGGAGCGAGGCACCTACGAGCTATGAGCTCAAGGCTCACACACAGGAGGGGCTGCCGTCCACGTAGGAAAATCACCCGCAGGACCCGAGCTGGACGGGAGCTCCCAACAGAGCTTGTCTGGGAAACACTGAGATCAGCCGGCCGGGCAATGACCCACAGGCCAGCGCCAGCCGAGAACCCCTGGAAGTGCTGAAGCGGAGGCCGCAACGGGACGGACGCCAGGAGCTGCAGGACCTGTCCCTCCTCACTCTCTCTTCCTCACCCCCAAGGCCCTGCCACCCCACAGGCCTCCTTCCGGCTCACTGCTGACAGCTCAGCAGCAGGGTGACTGCAGAGCGAAGGCGGGATGGCGCTGAGTCTGTTTTCCTGTCGCCAAAACGTTTCTTCTGCCTCAAGAGAGAATGAGTACCACGGGATCCACTGTCATTATAGCTCTTTATTTAAACATTCTGAGGGCTTCCAACCCCCTTTAAAAATGAAAGCTGCTAAGCACCCGCTGAATAAAAGCACACACAGCCCACAGTCCCACAGCCCAGACAGCACGCGGGCTCTGAAGGTCCCCTTACCCTTCGTCACCAAGGCACAGGCCCACAGCCACCATGCACGCCAGTCACCTTGTGGACTGACGCGCTCACAGCCCTAGCAGCTGGACGCAGCCTATAAATAACTTTAAAAAGCCCAACTTTAGGCAGGCGTAGGCATAGTAAAGGGCCTGAACCCTCTGCGGACACTCAACCCTCGGCTGCAGACCACACTGGACAGCGAGCTGATCCCCAGAAGGCAGTATGGGGCCCAGCACCGACCCAGCCACTGTGCAGGTCGGTCTTTAACACCGCCCGGTGCAGAGGTGGCTTTGGGCTTCGGTTGGACTCCGAGGCCCACGAAAGGCAGCGTAGGGCTCGGGGCGTCCTCACCGGGGTGGCCCCTCCGGAGCTGGATCGCAGCCCTGCGTGGTGCCTGGGTCCGCAAGGCGGGCCTCTCCGGCTAGGGGCGGCTCCGCCAGCTCCTCCAGCTCCTCCGGCGGCCCAGAGCTGGCCACATGCTCGCTGGGAGGGGGCGCCCCCTCCTTCTTCTCACCCAGCACCTCCAGCCCCATCATCCTGAGGTAGTGCAGCCGCTCATTCTTGGGCACGAAAGTCCGGATGGAGGCCTTTCCCCGCCAGCCACACAGCACAATGGGGCACTGCAGGGCCTCCGGATTCCTGCACACAAAGATGGCGCCAAGTGAAGGCCCACATCTAGATATCCACCCCAGGACTGGGGTGCCGGCCCTGGAGGCTGTAGGTCCCCGCGGCCAGGCCGCCACCGCCTCAGCATGGAGTCTGGCCCACCAGATAGGCCACTCTCCTCCGCCTCAACTCTGGGTCAATGGCAGGCGGCAACTGCCAGTCCAGCCCCGGCCAGGACCCCTCCTTCCCTGCACAGGACCTTGTGACCAGCTGGCAGCAGTGCCTGGTACCCCAGCCCCACGGCATAGTGCGGGAAGTGTGAGCTGAGCCCCGACACCATAACTGTTCTTCTCTTCGCTTGCCCAGGACCACCTAGGGGTCCCCGCCCCAGGGATCCTTACAAGGCGTGTGAGCACCAGTCACTGCCTGGTGGGGCCCCCTGCTGAGTTGGAGGACAGAGCTCACTTGAGGCCGGATGTCAGAAACCAGAACTGACTTCCCGTGCAGGGTCCTCTGCATGACGACCCTCGGGCAGTGCCCTCCCTCTACCTTCAGAGGAGCAGGATAAGGCCGCCAAGTCCCGGGGCTCCCACGGCTCCTGAACACCGCCACCCCACAAACACACTCCTCTGGTGGCAGGGGCGTGCACTTACGTGGGATCCGGTTCGTACTTCAGCACAACGCTTCCCTTCGCTGGAAGAGAAACAGACACACGTGTGCACGGTGCCCGGCTGGTGAGCGCAACTGTCAAGTGCACCGCGGGCCGTGTGGTTCTGAGGACGGAGAACCGGGACCTGGAGCGTCAGCGCACAGGCCCCAGCCAGACCCCTCTCGAGTGGGGAGCTGGGCAGTAACACCTCCTTCCCACTCAAAACTAAACCAACTCGTAGGAACGCTTGAAATAACACAAAAATTATACTGCAATCAGCTGAGTGGAGACTACGGGCAAATAACAAGAGTCAGTAGCTCCAAGTCCTTAAGCGGATCCTCACTGTGGCTCCCGCCAGACATGAGAGGCGGACGTGACAGCATGCAGCTTCACCAAACCGAGCCAGATGCCCGGACACACCGTGACAAAGTAAACAAGCGTGAAAACAGTGAGAACAGCGCGGCAGAACTCTGTACTCGGGTGGCGTCTGGGCGAGCTGAGGCCGAAGTACAGGAAATCTGGATGAAACAACGCAACCAATGGCCAGCAGGGTAGCAGGGCGCCCTGGTGTCAAAGCCACAGACCCCAGCCAGTGGGGCTCCCATGCCGTGACAAAGGCCCTGGGTGCTGGCCTGTGGGTGGGCACACACCCAGCAGCTCAGGGACTCCACAGCCTCCAGGGCTGGGCTCTACAGACTCAACGTGGGCTGCTGGTGGCATCAGGGGCTGTGGCAGGTGGGAGCAGAGTACCCCGAAGACACCTCTGATCCTTAAGGTGTGAAGAGCCCTCAATGGGCAGCCCCTTGTGCACACGGGGACCGCTCTCATCCCGAGAGGACCAGTACTTTGTGTCTACACGGAAACACCCCCCCCCCACGTCATCCCAGGTCCTATGAGGCAGTGACCAAAAACATGTGCCAAGAGACAAGCACCTGCACTTCGGCTGTCCCCCTCCAGGAAGACAAATCCCTGCCACTCCAACTGCTTACCCATGTCCTTGGCTTGACTGTATGTCTCGCTGCTGAGTTTTCTAAAAAACGGATTTTCCTGGGTCAAGAGGATCTTCACATCCTCCATGGACACCGTAATAATTCTTGAGTTAATAAATGGATACAGTGTATATATTCCCTGTGGAAACACAGAGAACACAGGGCTTCGTTTCTAAGGCGCAGCCCCGGCCCCATGCACAGCCCTGCATGGGGGCCGAAGCCTGGAACCTTTGGGCCTCGGGCAGGAGGTGGCTGACAGCCCCATGCTCCCGCCGACCACACAGCAATCGGGGCAGGGCCATTCAAGCCGGTTCCTAAATTACCTCTTGTGCCAAGCGGAAAGCACAATCAAACTCTTCACCACCGTTATTTCGGCACCAGACCTTTATCCCTGTGTTAATAACCTGTAAGGAAAAAGCAACAGAGAGAATGCTCACCGAGAAGACCATCTCTTCTACTGTGAGCAGCAAGGCGAGCGGCTGCGGCCACCGCACGATAGCACAGTGCATGCGCGCAGCTCGCAGTGACAGAGGAGAGCAGGGCTTAGGGCCACACGCTGTCACAGGACCGGCGAGCACCGCGGCCCGCGACTGGGGAGCCGAGCGTGCCGGGGAAGGGCCTGGAGGCGTGGCCCAGTCACCCCGCCCCGCACCTTCATCCGCTCGCTGTTGTTGAGCAGCACGTTCCGCAGCTCCTTGGACACCATGTAGAGCTGCCTCTTCTTCCCCTCAGTGGTTCGCGTCAGCAGATTCATTCTCGGGAACGAGGAATCCAGAGCGTAGAACTTCCTGTGAGCAGAACACGGCTGCTGGGCCGCAGTGCCCAGCTCCCCTGCCTCATCCCACACCTCCGGGCAGCACCAGCGCGAGGGCACAAGCAGCTCAAGGCCTCTGCCAACTAGGCCGCTCCCCTCCACGGCCCCTCCGAGCGCTCCTTGTGGCGCCCCCTCCTCCACAGCCGGTCAGGACAGCGACTGACACCGACACCAAGTCTTGGTGCCGGGTGAAGGGATGGCAGCCACTGAGCTGCACACACTGGAGACGACTTCTCTCCAGGGGCGGCAGAGTTGATCCTTACTCAATAGGCGGGAAGAGAGGGTCATCTTCGGGGATGAACACAAACGGGTCCTCCTTAAATCCAAACAACTTCATCTTCTTTGACGGGGGTGGCCTGGGGACAGGGCAGGGGAGGGAAGGGCGCTGAGCGGCAGCCTGGGCCTCAAAGTGGCCAGCAGGGCGCAGGGCCAGGCAAGCTCTTCTCACCCGCACACGCCGTCCTTCCTGCTTTCGCTGCTCTCCGGGTCCTCAGCCGCCGGCATGGCCTCTGCGTCCCCTGTCTCTGCGGCCTCCTGACTGTGCTGCTCGGGGGTCTCCCCCTCCTCGGGAGCTGCAGGGCTCAGCTCCGTGCTGTCTCTGCTCGCTGCAGATTTACCCTGGACCTGTGGACAGAACGAGAGCATTCACTGCAGAGCCGCACGCCGCTTCAGAGCTCTGGCGCTCGCTCATCACGATGGCATCCAGACCCTGTGAGTCTCTGCTGGGAGGACGGAGGCCACACCGGTACGAGCCCTGCGAGGCACGGCACGGGCAAAGGACAGGGTAAAGGACCGGCCCAGGGCATCTGGCATCAGGAGCAGGCCAAGGGCGAACTGTTAGATTTGGACGACAGCGTAACTGAGCCGGGCTCAGAACAGTCATAAAATGTTACTTCTATCCAACACCTTTTAGGGCAGGGGTGCCTCTCAGTGATACAATATGTACCTAGAATGAGCAAGGCCCTGGATTCGAGTTCCAACACACACAACCACCTTTTAAACTGTACCCTAACAGGTCACGAGAACAGCAGCAGGGGCAATTCCTAGCTCCTATGAAATACAGGGTGCCTCGGTTTATGAACTTCACGTTTTATGACTCTGGGCACGATGGCTGCGTGTGTGGGAAGGACGGCTGAAGCCATGTTTGGCACCCGATGCAGAGTCTGAGAATGGAAACAAAATTCTGTCAAACACTTCTGTCTGTGAACCGAAGTGTCTGTGAACCAAGGTATTACCGTGAGTTCATAAACTGGGACACTTCCGTGCACCAAGTTCTGCATTTTCCTCCGCATCACACACTCCTAAGCCCGAGTCCACGCCACCTGGAACCCCGCCACCCAGAGCACACCCACTCCAGTGCAGAAAGAGTGCGGAAGCCTCAGGGGGACTGGCCTGGGACATGCACAGCTGCCGAGGTCCTTCCGCCTGCCCCCCGCGGGTTCCCGGGAGCCTCTGCCTCACTCTGCCTGCCCCCCGCGGGTTCCCGGGAGCCTCTGCCTCACTCCGCCTCATGGCCATTCCCACAGCACCCTCTCCACCCCACCTCAGCAGCTGGAGGACCCGAAGGCGGCCACGGCGAGGCAGCCATGCCCTGGGCCAGGTCAGAACAGACAGGGCTGAATCGGGGGAGGGCTAGCAGTCAGCAGAGGCAAGTGGCAAGACGGTCAGAGCCCCTCGGAGGACACAGTGTCCACCGGCCGGGCTGTACACTGCCAGGGAACTGGTGGGGGACACTGAAGCCAGCGACCCTGGACCGAACCCCTGGATCCGGGAGCTCAATAAAACCTGTCTTGGAAGGAGTAGGAGCGGGGACTATGTCTCAGCAAAGGGGAAGCGACAAAGTCAGCGAGCTGGCCCAAGCCCAGGAAACTTAGCGCATGGGCAGCGGGCTCTAACCCATGGCAAAGCAGTCAGCCAGGTGCAGACGTCGCCTGCCACGAGGCCAGGGCTAGGCAGGACAGGCATAGGCAGAGAACCGCAGGCATGTGGGGCAGGCACGCAGCTCAGCGGCAGGGCACGTGCTTAGCACACAGGAGACCCTGGGTTCGATCCCCAGCACCAAGTCACAAATAAACCGTAAACTACACTTCTTACTGTTAAAACAGCGTCAACCTGCAAAGGTCTCAAGAGTTTCTCACACTGACTACTTGAAAATTACATTTTTAACACCCTGGGATAAATAACATTAAAATGAATCCCACTTCTTACAGCGCAGCTCTGGGAAATACGACACAAGGCTGGAATCCTGCTCCTGTCCTGCACAGCTGACTCAGAGGGCAGCTGGGGCTCCCTGGAATAAGAGCTGCACTGAGACTTTCTCCCTGAAGCCCTTGCTGACCACCGCTGACACCTCGGCAAGGGCCCAGTGCAGGGCTGGGGAGCAGGCCTGGACCAGCTCTGCCCACAAGTAATCCATGAGTCACAGGTCCCAGTTTCGGGGTCTTCCTGGTGGCTGCAGCCGACCTGTCATCACGCAGATCAGCGGCCCCTTCTAGGCGAGGCCCTCCAGGGTTGCTCTCTGCCAAGCAGTGACGGGTGCCCTGCCCTGCAGTCCTGGCTTCCGCGGACTCATAGCAGGCTGGATGGAGCCCACGGGCACTGGAGCAGAGGAGGGTTCAGATTCTGAGCCCCACACGAGTCTTCTTGTACCCTCCCTCATTATAAAATAACCAGGATATAGATGTAGAGGAATTCACTGGTCAGACACTGCCTTTCCCTACACCTGGCCCCAGTGACCAACATTTGCTTGCTGGAAAGCTAGAAATTAAGCAAATCCCACCTCGTCCAGGCTCAGCCCCTCTTTAGGTGGAACCCCCAACCCCCCATTGGCCCGGCTCCCCCGCCACTGTTCCCTATGTCCTGAAGGTATTAAGGCCCAGAAGTCCTGTTCCGCAGTAAAGGCCTTACCTTTGGCTGACGCTTATTCCACGGCATCGGAGACGTCTTCACCAACACCGCCACGAAGAACCCTCCAGTGTTCTGATGGTGTGGCAACACCCGCAGGCTACAAGCACGTAGTACACTCAGACTCTGCACACCCCAAGGTACTCTCGGCATCAAGACAAGGACCACAAAGATGCTCGAGAGGGGCCAGGTCTTCGTGCAGATCCTCAAGTGGCCTCATGCACGGCCCTCAGTCAGATGCTCCATGCAGCATCCAATGGAGGACACCTCGCTGGCCGGAGGTCCCCACAGCTGTGCTCCCTGCAGCCTGACCTGCTCCCACCCAAGCCCACCAGCCACCAAGTCCACCAGGCGCCCCACAAACTCACCAGCGCTCCAGGTGCATCGCCTCCAGCTTCTCAGGGTCCTTGGGGGGGAACATGGTGGGCCGGATCTGGGTGTGCCTGCTGTGGGGAACCTCATCCCAGTCTGCAAACCACTGCCCTTCTCGAGTCATGACCTGTGGGGGAGACAGTGGCCTCCTGGACGACAGCGCCACTGGCTGTGAGCTGCAGTGCAAAGGTGCCTGCCCACTGCGACCAAGGCACTCTGTGCCCCGCCAGGAGGACCAATGGCCAGGAGGAAGCACTCTTCATACACTGTCGGCTACAAACAAAGACACAACACTCCCCAAACAGGGATAGCTGCAGCCAAGGAACATCTGCCTCATGGGTTTCTTTCTTGTTTTTAAAACAGGTCCTGGATTGTTGGGATTGAAACTGTAAACTGAACTGTTTCACGTAGGGCATGAAGTTTAATGCCAGACCAGTAAAAAATAAAGCAAAGCTATACTTAATGAGGTAAAAACAAAGCTGGTTTTTAGACATGGGACAAAGGCAGAGAGCTTTCCACTGCCAGAGAGAAACGTGTACGGTCACAGCACTGTCTTCAATCGCGATTGGACGCGCACTCCACCTGCAGCCTGAGCCACAGCACGGCCCTGAGTCTGCCCTGCACCAGCCTCCCCGCAGGGTTACCTTCCACTGTGTGAGCCCGGGCATCCGCTTCAGCCCTGGCAACTCGGCAGATGCATCGGCCAGCTCCAGAGCACCTATTTATGAAGAAAAAATTCCCCGAAGGGACGACACGTTATGCCCAGTGGAAGAGACCAGGGACAAAGGATCTCACCTTTCACGAGTCCATTCACAGGAAATACCCAGAGGTGCAAGCACAATGACCGGAAGGACAGCAGCAGCTGCTGGGGGCAGGGCAGGACACAAGCGACACAGATCTCCCTCAGTGCCGGGACAGCTGCCACGGTGGTAAGTTACCAAAGCCACATGACAGCACACTCAAGGAAGGTAAACGGCAGCTCAGCAGAGCCTGTCTACAGTCCCAGCTGGCTGGGGTCTTCCTGCCATGTGCGTAACACCCCCAGAAACTGTGAAACACTGTTTCACATCTCAGTACATTCTGTAAAATCATCTGTCACGACTGGGTCAGGCCAATTTGAAGCTCGCACCCCACTCTCCCAGCGAAGTCCCAAGGGGAGACAGGAAACCTGGGCATCAGCTCCTAGCTTGACCACCATGCAGGTCTTCCCAGGGAAGGAAACCCAACACCACTATGAGGGGAGGCGGTAAGAAATCTGAAGCGGTAAAGACAAAGCACGAGAATCTCCAAAGTGGACAGAAACCTTCCATACGCATCTCCCTGACTTCTGCTACCAATTTTGAGTTTTCCCCTTTTAGCGTGCGCACCACCGGAGCACACAGGCACCTCCCAAACTGTCCAGGGCCTTCGAGAGCAACCTCGCAGACCCATCTGTCGCCACCAGCAGAGGTTTCTAGCAGTCTCGCATGGGGACCGCAGCCCATCAAACCCAGTGGGCAGCAAGAACACAGCTCAGGGCGGCGGCCTCATTCTTCAAGGAAGGCCTATCTGTGCCCAGTGCCCGACAGTTAAAACTTCCCATCAAAAAATTTAAAAATACACCAGTATGACAAGGATCTGACATAATCTTCCAAATTGACACAATCAAATCTTCTGTTTTCAGAGCCCCCCTTTCAAATATTCCATACGGCACAAGAAATCTATCACGTCACGTAAGTGTGTTTTAAACCAAGATGTGTCATTTTAGGAGTGTGGTGACGGGGTTGCCATGCACACGACGTCCCAGGAGGGCTACAGGAACACACCATCCGCAAACACGTCTGCCAAGATCACGTGCAGTTGGCTCACCTTCGCTCTTTTCCAGGAGAGACGCGATGACGGCCTCGTCTTCGACGGGGTTCAGGGAGCACGTGGAGTACACCATGCGCCCCCCTTCCGCCAGCTGCTCTGCGCCACGCGTCGCGATCCGCAGCTGTAAGCTAAGGGGTGGCACGGGTGACGAGCGGATCCATATCGCGCTGCGCACGAGCACCAGTGACGAGCTTTCATAATGTGCAACACAGTTTCAAGCTTCTAAGGGAAGCTAGGGTCAAGCTCTAGGAGCTCTGTGGCGCTCGCACTTAAGGTATCTCCCGACATAAAAGTTTCTGCTATTGCCATGCCAAGAATTTCTATAATAAATGTGTTTCGTTTTTTGTTTTTTTTTTTTTTTGGTACTGGGGATAAAACTCGGGACCTCTGCTTGTGAGGCAGGAGCGGTGCCACTGAGCTACATCCTCGGCCCAATAAACGTGTACCTTGAAGGCACAGTTTAGTTACTAATCTTGGGAGGTTTAAAACCTTGACGCAGAAGCTCGCTGTCACAAGGTGCCCTGGCGGGGCTCACTCACCCATGCAGCTGCAGGCTGTTCAAGGTGCTCCACTTCTTCCAGACATCAATGTTCTTCCTCATGGTGCCGTCCCCACTGCCAGGAAGATATGCAACTTGGATCTACGCAGCATGGCAGACCCAAACGGGACCACAAACAGGTATGACCGGAAGTCCAGACGCTCATAAATGACAACCAACCTTCTATTCTAAAGGTACTCTAGAACATTTTTTGAACAAGAAACCTCATTCCACTCCTGAAGAGACCATTTGCACCCATGTTGGAGAAGCACAGCTTGAATACCCACTGCCCAGGATGCATGGGCCCGGAAGTGTGCTGGGACTGGATGTCTTCAGGCTCTGAAGACAGACACACATGCTACCTCGGGCTGAGCACAAAACTCACCTGTGACACACACCTTGGCGCGCAGGCGTGTGGGAATGCCAGACAGGACTTTCAGGGTATTTCAACTGCAGCCCATCACTTGAGTTCAAGTGTGGAATTCTCTATTTTTGGCACAGGAACAGCACTCCAAGTTTCTGCTTTTGGAGCACTCTGAATTTCAGATTTAGATGTTCAATCTGTCTAGCTGAACTGGTATAGCAGACCTGTGACACAGAACCTTGAACCCTGCTACTTACAAACCTTAATCAATAATGATACCTTAATCAAAACTAAATAATGACACATTTATACTCAAGATTTTTCCACAACGATTTCAATTAGACCAATCTAATTCCATTACCAAATTTTATAATCATAGTTAAATATTTCAGATTTTACACTTTTAATAGGAATTAGTCTCATGTTTTCTTTAATGGCAATTATTTCTGTGTGTATTTTAAAATACAGACTGGACTTGTAATCTTCTGTCCATGTTCAATTTCATCCACCCCATCTTTCCAGAGTTTATTCTGGCTTTGTTGACTTCCGTCACATTTAATTCCCCCAGGGTTGACCCTCATGTGTTCCATGGGATGGTTTCGTCCCAGAGATGTGATTCCAACTTCCAAATGACACCCCAGGCTGAGCGGAGAGCTTCTGGGGTGGAAACTCAAATGTTTTCAGGAATTTCTTCCACTTACAGCCAACTGCTCATAAGGTCACTTTTTTCTCAGAATACAACACACAGAATGTGTTCTACTTCAGATCAACAACACAGAGCTGAGACAGAGACTCAGAAAACTACACCTTAGAAACAGGGAACTGAGTTCATGACCTACACATTCAGCTGTTTGGTGTAGTGTCAGAGTTAACTAAGTTTCATTTTCCACATTGCAGCTACCTAAGGTGGCCCATTTTTAAAAGTTTACTCAAGTCTAAATCGCACTTCACACAGAGCTTTTCAGGTACTGAAACGCAGTCAAGTTCATTGCTTCTGGGTAAGTTTTGAACAGCTCTGCCTGAGCAGTGAACGTGCCCTGGCCTAAGCACAATGCTGTCCTCAGGGAGAGGCCCGGCCGGGAAACCCCACGCTCAGCGTGACCGGGCTCTGGCCATCAGAGTTGCTGCACAGGCGCCAGCTGTCGCCCCAGTGGAGTCTCCTCTGGAGACGCTCAGCTCTGCAGCATCACAGAAGGCTTTACACAGAGTACCGGGCAGAAGAAGTACAGATCAGACATAAGGGGGGTTTCTCAAAGGTTTGCGCTCCAGGGTTTCTTTCCTGGGCTGCGAAATAGTTCTGCGCAACACCCTGAAGCGCACCACGGCAGAGCAAGGCTATGATCGCCTAGAACCCCCACTTCCTTTTTAAAAACCTTTTATCAAAACCACCTTTGCTCCCTCTCTGTGCTACGCCCCGTGTCAAGCTGAGGCATTTTGCTCACTCGCTGTCCACTTCTGGCTCAGGCTCCTGGAGTCCTTCTCTGTGCCTGTGGTCACCTTTGTGTCCACCCGTGGTTTCACTTTAGTCCACATCTGATTTGATTCCTGGGGAGGGCACATCCGGCTGCTTAGTAACATAAATACCTGCAGGGGACATCACACAGAATCCGGTCGTAGAAGAGAACCTCCTTCCTTCCATCCACATCCACCGTGAGTCTCGGGATGCTGGCCGCGTCATGGTTCACCACCATGATGCAGGGGCTGCTCAGCCTCTTGGCCTGATGAACCAGCAAATAGCAGCGCTTGTTGTCCACATCATTAGCGATGACAAATCCCTCTGCCAACACAAAACTGTGGTGTCAGGCGAGGCCCAGCAGCAGTGGAATAACGTCTGTAAACACAGAACCTGTAGGCTGACAGGTGAGACCCCACAACCCACAAACATAAAAGCAGAGGCTGAGATTTTCTAGAAAAAAGTTGTCCCAGAATAGGAGGCAGGTAGCTCTGCATGAATTTTACAGACACCAGATCATTCCAAAGCTTAAAGATTTATTTGTTCAGCAATGATTCACTTGGTACGAATTACTGTGTCGACATCTCTCAGGAGACTAGGAAGTAGCTACGAGGACAAACAACAGCCTCAGTAGACAAGGGTCAAACACGGCTCGGTGCCAAGGCTCTGTTCTAGTCTGAGACTCAGCGGACGAGCTGCTCAGTGAGGGCTACCGGGGAGCCTGGCGCTGCCTCTGCATATGTGTCCCTCATACTTCCAGCCAAAGGGCGAACACGCCTCCTAACACGGCTTGCAATAACCAGGAACACTTTGCAAAACCACATAAGAGCAAAACCTCAACAATACAAAAGGAAGAAACTGCTTCTGCTGATGCGATTCAGGCTCTCTGGTAACAATTTAACCAAGAAAGAATAAAGAACACCCTTTGGTAAAAAGATTCTAGAAGAATAAAAGACTCACACACACAGCTAGCAAACATGCCCACCAAAATAGACCTGGGCAGACGCTCAGGAGAGATGAGGGCTCACGGTAAGAAACAGCAAGGGCAGCGGTCATTCTCCAGAGAAGCCCTGCGGAGGGGACTGAGACACGCTGCCTGGCCCCAGCCTGCAGAGAGCACCAAGCCCAGGGAGCCCACACAGCGGAACAACCGTGCCCCACACCCTCACACAGCAGTGGGGAACTGAGACACTGCCCAAAACTGTGACATCTGTATACCACCAGTTGGCCTCATCAAAAAAAAAAAAGCTTTTTTGGAAAATAAAAGCAAGAATGTGCAGGTTTGAGAACCCCTGACTTTACAAAAACACCCAGCTCCACCTTCAGTGAACAGAAAACCTACATGCTTGTCCCAGGTGATCTCTGGCAAATGCCAGCACCTCTGTCCCGCCCACCCCACCGCATAACAGAAAACCTACATGCTTGTCCCAGGTGATCTCTGGCAAATGCCAGCACCTCTGTCCCGCCCTACCCTTCAAGTCACTCCCTACCCTTCCACGAGTACCTGGAAAGGGGACATTCATGTCGGCATGGAGCATTTCAATCAACTGTGCGGTCTTTGATCCGGGTGCTGCACACATATCTAATATCTAAAACAAAGAAAGACAATGTCTGACATTTGTAAAAATACGAAACATTCTATATTTAATGCGAAATAGTTCTATGAGACTCTCATGTCCTGATCTCCATCTCAAGACTGACCCATATTTCCTTACAGGATGAATTCTATAGCACGTCATGCTACTTACAGGGACCCCATGGTATCTAATGTTCCGAAAAGAAAAAACCACAAGCTGACACAGGTAGAGTCTCCACATGTCATGGAAACAGGACAGAGTCCCACGAAAGCGCTATATGCAGAAAAGAATAGCAACAGTGGTCGCAGAACAAGGCTCAGGGCGGCAGCCCTGTAACTGTGTCAGTCACTTCTCTCCTGGGAAGCACAGACAGTGACAGTGGATCTACTCTCACAGGGCGTGGGGACGAGGAAAGGAGTCATTCAGTGCCTGCATACAATGAGCCTGCGTTACCACATCCAGTGTGGTTTAGCCAACCAAGACTGCTGAGAGCATCTGTATGATAAGCAAATTATAACACTTACAAGGGAGAAAACAGGAAGGTGAGCTGTCAAAATTAAGTAGGACGAAAGTACAAGAACCTGACATAAATACACACTGTTCTTCCACTGGGGGGATATTCTACTGAAAGGTTCCAACAAACAACACACAGCACAGCATGGCAAGCCCAGCTCACCCGCTCTCTCTGGGAACGCTACCTTGTGGTGTGGCTGGACGTTCAGCAGCAGTGGCGGGATCATGCTGACTGCTTCCTGACGGCTGATGTTTCCCTTGGGAGAGAAATCAACACTAAGATAGTACAGGCACTGCTGTGTCAAACGGCAGGCACAGAAAGAGCGCTGACCGCAGCACCACACCGAACACGAACACGGCAGGAAATGGCCGCTACCTAAGTATACCGAGGGTGACCCTGACACCAAACGTGCCCTGCTCCGTTCCAGGAGACACTGAGGGCGGGAGCAGCTCTCCGAGATGGCCACACTCGCTCAAGAGCCACAGCCAGGGTGGGCGCCGTCGCCCTTCAGAGAGCACAGCGGCTCCTGCTTTGTCTTCACAGGTGACCGACACCCAGAGACCCCTGTCCCCGTCCTGGAAGATTCTCCAGGCCGGATGCAGCCCGGCCTGCTGCTGCAGCCATCCCTGCCCACTGCAAACCCACCAAGCGCCAGGAGCTGCAGGGTTCCCCAGGCGCTGCCCCAGCCCAGCCCACTTCCAATGGGAACTCAGGCAGTGGGGTGGGCGCCCAGATGCGAGGGATCCGAACCGGGACCAGCAGCCAAGCTCTCTCCTCCTCCACCCTCCCCACCGCTAGCCCACGGGGCCCACACATTTGAGGCTCTCCACCAGCTGCCCCTCCAGGCTGAAGGAGGGCCTGGCTGACAGCCACACAGAGCTGAGTGTTGAGCGGGCCGGCGGCTTCTGCACTGGCTAAGGCCCCGGGAGGACCTGGGAAGCAGTGTCTCGGTGAGTACACCTGAGAGGGAGCACCCTGGTGACAGAGGTCTACCTGGCTACAAAGGAGTAGACCAGAAAGGGAGGGGGAAACTTCTAACCTAAAGCTGGGACCAAGAATTCCAAGAGCAGGAGCCAAAGCTCATCAACACCCAAAGGCCCGGGCGCCAGCCGGATCCCTGCGTGAGGGGAGAGCTGCTCTGCTGGGCAAGCAGTGTGGGAGGACAGTGGCACGGAGAACCGCACCGGGCCTCGGTGTTTTTGGTTCTTGGCAAAGGTACAGCACAGGAGCTGTGTGTGGGGCAGCGATAAAGAAATGGGTCGGTTTTAATACAGTAAATTTTAATAAAAGCACGAAACTGTGGCCTTAAAACCCTATCACTGCAAGTGTACAGCAGACAATGGCGCTGTGCACCTAGGAAGGGAACGGGGGAGTCGGGGGCTTCGGGAGCCACGGCTGCGAGGAAACCACATCCACGGACAGCAGTGACCCCAGGCCCTCACCCAGATTAGACACCCCACAGTTTAGAAGTGGTGGCTGCCTCCGGCCTGAGTCCAGCATGAAGGGAACTAACCATGCAGCATCTCTGCAAGGAGCGCTTCAAGCTGACAAACCCAAAGACCTCTACTTACAGACTCAGTCTCGCTGACCAGAAACTGATGAAACCTTTCCAACCGAGGGGACTTTCTCAAGATTTTTCGACTTAAATTTGTGTGCCAGGCAAGTTCTTCAGGATACCTGACCAAAGAGAAATTAGACACTCATGGGTTACTCATCCGAGCAGTCTCCCGGAGGCTCGCTGCTACAGACCACGCACCCACCTGCTCACACCTGCAGTGCTGCCAGCACAGGAGGTGACACACCCACGTCCCAGAGAGCCACAGGGGCTGTGCGAGAGGCACACACAGGACACTACTGTACCATCCTAACCACGGAGACTGCTCCGTTCCTCACCACCAGGTTAACAATGTTGCAGAGGTCAGGAGGAAAAAGCAACAAGGGTCAATGAAACAAGTACACAGAGGGCAGACACTGGTGTCTGATGTGCATTCAATAAAGAATTTCTAAAAATAATTTTGTTATTTTAACACCAGCTCTGTGCTGAAATGTTTTACATACAAACAAACGAAAGCCACAAAAACCCCACACTTAGAAACGACCCAGGCACAGACCAGAGCCCCACATGCACTGCTGCCTACAGTGCGAGGCCACAGCTCCCGCCCTTTCTGTAAACGATGCTGCTGCTGATCACTAAGGCCAAGGCGTGTTTTAAACTTGCCTGCTCCTTCTTTCCACCGCGTCCAACCTCACAGACGAGGATGCCAACGAGACACAACGCCACTCATCCGTGCCAAGCTCTGCACAACACACCCTGCCACACGGCAGCGACTGAGTCCGTGGTGACAGTGAGCTCGGTGCCACAATGAGGGGCCTCACAGTTCTCCACAGCCAGCTCTGGGGCAGCAAGGAAATGAACTGATTTGAAGCAAAGTGACTATGTGAGAGGATGAGAGTCAGGCCGCGAGGGCTTGGGACGCTGCTCAGGGGTCACTAGGCGAGATGCATGTGCAATGTGTCTTCTACGAAACAGTGAAGATTAAAGTAGCTGAGCCCATTCACAGACACCTCCGAATGGCCCCGAGCCACTCCCTGTGCCTACTTTCCTCTCTGATGCTTAAACTTGTTCCAGAAATAAAGCCAAACTAAAATCATACCTGTCAGGCAATTAATAAAGAGCTGAAATATTCTTTTGGCCTCACTCAAGGCTCACCAGTAGGAGTGCACTTGACTTAAGCAATCAGCAAAATCACAACGCTTGGCAGCCAAAGGCCCAACAACCTGAGCCGCTGTGACCCGTGATGGCCTGTGTGGTCTCCCAGGGCCCCTGCACACGGCCGGGAGGGGGACGTCATCCACAGGACATGACGTTGCCTCGGTGCTCCAAGTCACTCCACTTTCATTTCCAAACAAACAAACAAGTGACCTCCATGCACTCTGAGCAAACAACCCCGTGTGCACCTCACAGGCCGCAACCTTGAATAATGAAAAGGTTCACTTACTAAGACCGGCCTAAAGTTCTCCGGTAATTGTAACTGCAAAGGCCATCAACCTTAAAAATAACACTGCTTGTTAAGCAGCTTTGAAGCTTCATCTTTTTTGAGCCAACAAACTTAAATTAAGATATCTGTAGATTTTAAAGTAATTTTAAAGAACTACATTTAATTTCGTTAATGACTTTTCAGAAAAAGGCCAATGTGGACTATCTACGCACATCACAAGTTTCCAAGGTGAAAAAAGCTCTGCAACAACTACACACAATGCACAGTATCGAAAGCCATCTTCAGGCCAGACATTAAAAGTATGAAATCAGACCGCAAAGGGGGTGGCAGACAAAGCCTTAGGGCAACTCCTTACTCCAGTCTAGGGGAAATGAAAAAAAAAATGTGAATTCCACCAAGCTATAATGACACTCCCTCTCAAAAATACATTTCTGAAAGAGTTTCCTAAATTATATTCCACCATACCAAAGGGCTAGGAAGGGCTGTACCATCTACTTCTGCCTTCTGAACAACACTGAAAAACCACCGGAAACCCTGAAGTTTCTGCTTTACCTGCTGAGATTTATGAGCATCCCACAAGTGACAAGTGAATCTGATTAAGTGCTTACAGAATGAAGTTCTCAAAACTTCCATCGATAACAGTAAGAGTATAGGAAACCAAATCATTCAGTCTTTCCTTTACACTCCTCAGCTGTATGTTCAGAAAATTAAATAAATACATGCACACCTCAGAGCTACCTACCGGCATTTGGCAGTGACTCGCTTTCATTCCTCAACTACAGGGGAGGTGCAGGGCCCTTCTTGCCGCTTTGGAATCACCCTGACATGTAATCATAAACGACAATATGGGACAGCAGCTGACAAGTGTTTAAAAGGCTGATCAAAATGAGTTTGACTGCAGCGTGTAAAGAACACTGAACAGCAAGATTTATTAAACACTGGTGGCTTCTCAGTTTGTTGGAACTTGCAGAAGAAGGGAAGGCCCTGAGATGCATGCTGAACAGCCTGCTACTGGCCAAGACTGGAAGACAAAGACTTTCTCCTCTTCAAAATCTTCCTTACTCTACCACCCTTCTAGACCCAAGTTTCAAGGAACAGATATTTCCAGATAATAATGCGAAGTAGCAAATCCACGCAGAACTAAAATCTCAGGCAGCCTCTACTTGAAGCAACGAACAAGTAACAAAGCCATCAATCAAATCTCCAAACCAAGGTACTCAAGGGTAGGTAAGTCAAGTTAGCAAGACAGAAGAAACTGGGGTCCCGTGAAGGCCACCTCATTTCAGCAATGCTAGAAGCAGCAGCCACTGAGGAACATCTTCCCTCTTCAAGGGCCTCAACACAGGGGATGTGCACTTGGTGAGCACAACAGCAACCCAGCACCGGAGTCAGATTCCTGTACGGTGCCCTCCAAGCTTCTAAATTACACCTGAAGTACACTCTGAGCTGGCAAACAGTGGGACATAATCCACCGCAGACCATGGCAGCCCTGCCAGGCTGAGACTGTCATCGTTCTAAAGACAGAGATGACTCTCTCCAACAGTTCTGATGTGAGAAAACAAGGGTGGCAGGGAGACGGAAACACCCAGTGACAATGCCAAGGAAGGAAGAGGCTGGGCAGACAAGAACAAACTAACTGGACATGGTGAATTGAAACAGATAGCAAGACGTCATGTATGAAGACCTGCACGCCAACATAAAATCAATAAAAGCCCTGGGGAAAAGACCATCAGGACATCTAAGTATGTTAGACCTCTTTCATGCTAACAGCAAATGCAGTGTGAAAACTACTCAAGGAAAAGAATAAAAAAACCAAACAGACCAACCTTGAAATGCTGCGATGAAGCAGCTCTGGGGTACCTACCAACTCAGGGGCTGCGGAACTTCAACTTTCTGACCATCCACTTCCAGGTTCTCCAACTCCTTAAAATACTTGTTCTTCAAGCAGTGGAGAATTTCTTTTGCATGGCTATCGACAAATAAATTTTACACTGATGAGAAAAGCTAACATTAACCCTTTAGACTTAAAACTGTTTTAAAACTAAACCAACTCTACATACATAAAGACGTGTCCCTTAATCACTGACTTTTTGCTGTATACCTTGAGCCCCGACCCCACAGGGATGGAGGGAGACCGCTCTCCGGCTGGGTAACCCTCAGCCCCCAACGCAGACCCTACCTCTTGTAACCGGTAATCCTCAGAGTGGCCGGGAGAGGCTCCCTGAGGGCGTCCATGAAGCGGCCCCACTCGCCCTCGGGCACGATCCTGAGCTCCTGGTAGTAGCGCTCGAACAGCTTGTTCTCCTTCACGATCTCGGGGTAGCCTCCCTCCCAGCCCTGCG